GATCGTAATGTAAGTATCTGATATGCAGGATGGTCTTAGGCGACCCCCTGTGAAAGGGTCGTTCGACCGCCAAAGGGGTCGCGACCCACAGGTTGAGAACCGCTGGCTAGACATTTCATATATATGTAGCCTTTTGTGTCTGGCTTTTTCACTTAATGTTTTCAACATTCATATGGTAACATGTGCGAGTATATCTATTTTAATCTGTGAGTACAACCACCTTTTTAAACATAGACTTTATTTTTTAGAGCAGTTTTAGGTTCACAGGATTGAGCAGAAAGTGAAGAGTTCCCATATACTACTTGGGTCGAATGATAAAAGTATGTTTCATTCTGTAAGAAACTGCCAAACTGTCTTCCAAGGTGGCTGTACCATTTGCATTGCCAACAGCAATGATGAGAGTTCCACTTCAACAACCATTTTTAAAAAACTGTTCTAATTGAACTGGACACACGGAGACGTGCACGTATCCTACGTGGGCCGCTTGGTGAAGACCTACAGCCTCTAGGTCAAGGAACAGAACATCACCAGCGCCCAAGAAGTCCCCGTGGCACTTTTTTATTTTAAGTTTTTATTGATTTCAGAGAGAGGTAGGGAGGGAGAGGGAGAGAGGGATAGAAACATCAATGATGAGAGAGAATCACTGATCTGCTGCCTCCTATATGCCCCACACTGGGGATCAAGCCCGAAAGCCAGGCATGTACCCCAACCAGGAATCAAACCATGACCTCCTGGTTCATAGGTCGACACTCAACCACTGAGCCACTCCAGCTGGGCCCTGTGACACATTTTAACTAGTTTCTTATTACTAGAATAACACCTATTTATTGTAGAAGTTTAGATGATGCAGATAAAAAGAATATAATGCAAATTACCCATAATCCCACCACGGAGATAACCAAAGTTTAACATTCTGGTATAGCTAAATCTGTTTTTACAAATATTGAATCCTAGTGTTTCATTGCATCCTGTTCTGTAATGGCCACATTTACATGTCCTAAATGCTATAATTTTTTAGTGCTATAATTCTTTGAATGGTAGCTGATGTTCCCAATCATTCCCCCCACTCCACTCTTGCCTTATTTTGGCATCAATGTGTTTCATTTCTTTTCAGATCCCTAAGGATTCATCCCTTCTTCCTTTAGTCGAAGCTCCCGAGTGCAGCCTGTAGAGGGCAGCAAACCGGCACCTCTCCGCCAGCCTCTGGAAGTGGGCAGGTTTCTGAGCCAAGGAGTTAAATCTTTAGGTTGATGAGATTCGCCCCTGAAGAAAGACTTTTTCAAAGCAGCAGCTTCTCCTGCTAGGAAAACTGCTTTCAGTCCCTTCTTATCTCATCAGGCAGAAGAAATGGCCCAGGAAATATGTAGGTCAGAACGTTCTCTGGAGGACTAGCCCAGGGCTCACTAATGTGTGTGTGTGTGTGTGTGTGTGTGTGTGTGGAGAGTAATGGGAGAAGGGAACGACTTAATTTATAATTCTAAATGGTTAAATGTCTTTCAGTGAACTATTTTGGTATATTTTTGAAACGATGAACTATGCTATGAATTAATTGTTTATTAACCAAGGAATAAAGGAATCATTTTTAAATAGCACACCAGGTATGTGGGCCATACGTTTCTATTTTTTAATCAGCTAAAAGCAAATGGGACTGGATGACATGGTTCTCTAAGGATTTCTGCTTCATTTCAGCCCGAATGAGACTCCTGCCTTGAACCTGGTCTGTAGGGAGGAAACAGTGAATTCCCAAGTGGGATCTTAAGTTGATTTGTTTCTGCCGGGGAAAGCAGCAAGACTGGTTTGATGACTGCATTAGCCAGAAAGAATCCTTGTACCGGGTTAAGCTTTCTGCACAATCTCATCAAAATGTGAGCGGACGGAAGAATCGCAGCCCATGCTGGGCAGTCCTTTGTCTACAATTAGGGCAGCAGTGCACGCTCATCCTGCACCTGCCTGGGAAGCAGGTTTCAGTTAACCGGGGTGACCAGGACCCGAAAACAGAGTTCTTCTCACCTGCACAACTGTCGGTTTGCCCGTGGCCCTTAATGAACTCCGAAGAGGTGTACAGTTTTGTAAATCTCACTCCAGCTTTTTGCACACGGAGATCCTAAAGTATTTTGAACCAGGTTTGCTCAGTTATCCAAAGTCAGTACCAATAATTGTATTCAATCTGGGTCTTTTGAATCTCAAGCCATTGTCACCCACAAATCTCATAATGTTACTGACAGACACTATATTAAGGTGCTGAGGCCAGAAAGGTACAACCTCTTGCCCTCAACTGGCTCACAGAGGGTTGCTACCTCCCCCGCCCTTACTCTATACCTGAAATGATACAGTCATGCGTGGGATGACAGAACGAGGCAATTTAGTCCACCCCCATTCCTTTTTGAGGAAATTAAGATCCAGACTTACCTAAGGCCATAGTACGTAGTTTCAGAGCCAGGACTAGGACCCAAGTAGATTTTCCTCAATTCTTTTTTTTTTTTTCCTGACTTCTAGAGAGAGAGA